GTTATCGGGCTGACTGTCAGTGCAATCAACTTCAATTTCAAAGTTTAGACCACGCACATCAAATAGTTGCTTCTTATCATCAGTTGGGGTGATGTTCTTTAGCTGCAATTATTAAGCACACTAGTTAGAAATAGAAATGATAATAAAGTATGGAAAGATAAAAGATCCCTATTACCATATGATACCAATATAGTATACATGCATACCAACAGAGTATATCACTGAACTGGGATATAGTATACATGATACCAATATAGTATACATGTATACCAATAGAGTATATCACTGAACTGGGATATTGCTACAACTGTGACTAAACTAGTGTACCAAAACATTATGAGAGGCAATAAAACTATGAGAAAATTACCTGCTCGCATTGCAATCTACACATTTGCAAAGCAACTAAAGGTGTTTAACGGGCCGGGTTGACTCGTAACCGGACCGGCCCAGACCGGTTAAAACCGAAACCGGACCGGCCCGGTACATAGGAGGTCGGGTGGGGCTAGGTAGGAGGGGTAGAGGGGGTTGGTCCGTTTAAATTTTGGTAACGGTTAACCGGACCGGTCAAACCTGGTCCATGTGAACAGTACCATGTACCGATTAAACCGGCCCGGCCCGGCCCGGTACAATCTGTTTTTGTTTTTTTTTTTTAATTTTTTGAATTAAGTGGGGGCCCCTAACCGTTAGCAACGGTAAGACCTGGCACGGATCCGTTGCCCAACGGGTTAATTGCATTAATAGCCTTTTTTTTCTTTAAAATTTAACCTTTTTTCAATTTACAAAATTAACCTTCTCTAAAACTATAAATACACCCCCTCTTCTTCAGTTCTTTACTCAACTCTCATTTCCCAATCTCAATTTCTCTCATTCTCCAATTTTCAAGATTTCAAGTCTCAATCTCAAATTCTCAATTCAATTTAAATCATGCCTCGTACTTCTAGAGTGCGCTCATATGTTTGGCAACACTTTGAGGTGGTAGAAGAAAATGAAGAAGGTCAGAAAGTAAAGTGCAAGAACTGTGGTCAAGTCTTAAATTTTCGTTCAGAGTCTGGCACAGGCAGTTTAAGGAGGCATATCAAGTATTGTCTTGAGCGTCCTCCGGAAATTCGTATTTAAGATTTTAAGACAATTTGTGTTATTTTAAAATTATTAGACGTATTTATTCTTAATGTTTTAGTTTGTTAGATTACTTTGAAGTATTGTTAATTTATTATGCATGAAAATTTAGTTTTACTATTTTTTGTTAATTTATTTTTTAAATGCAAACTTTAATTTTGAATTTTGAAATAAATGTAGTACTTGCAATTTATATTAATACTTTTGTATTAATATAACTTGTAATCTTTAAATTAATACAAAATATTAATATAACTTACAATAGTTATACAAAATACAAAAAAAATAAAAAATACACTAAACCCGGCCCGGCCCAACCCCCTCAACCCGTAACCCGTACGGTTTAATTTTTACCCGGATGAACCCAAACCCGTTAAACCCGTTAAGCCCCAACCCGTAACCGGCCCAGACCGTAACCAGTACGGGTCCAAAAAATAGCAACCCGGCCCGGCCCGGCCCACCTGTTTAACACCCTTAAAAGCAACTCGCTCATTCGGTATTTGACCCATGACTACCCAATTCAAAATTCGTGGAAGTTTGTTTCCAAGATGATCAGCAAAGTGACCATCCAAACTTGGGCAGCATTCATACAACCAAGTCTGTAAAGCCAACGAGAAGCCACCGAGTCTATAAAAAGAAGGCTTATCTTGAAACTTGTTGGAACACGAGTCAATTGTAGCTTTATAAACATCTATACCCTAGGGATAATTATTAAAATCACCGCACTCAATCAAGTCAATGTAAGACCGTGAAATAACCTTTGTTTTGAGTTGAGAAAGTAAGAAGTTGTTCACAAAATAAAGAACTGCTATCTTCAACGCATCATCATCTGTTTCCCATTTCTTCTTCTTAAAACAGTCTGCTAGTTGGGCAAATGTCACGGATGCAGTCCCAAAATATTTTGAAATTAACCTATTCTCTGTTATGCTCTCTATACTTGTATCACCCTTACATTTCAACCCAGTAACAAGTGCAAATTCACCCAAGCCAAAGCGCAACCTAGAATCATTCACTACAAACCGCATCTCATTTTTCACCTCATGATGTACTTCTCTAATAAGCAAATGGTGCATAACCCGAATCTGCACAATAACTTGTGGCAGATCCAAAAAATAGCCAAAGCATGTTTTCTTAAATAGTCGAAGTTGCCTCTTTGATAAATTCGCTTTCAATTGATGAATAACATGGCAGTTGGTATCCCAATCAACCTTTGGTTTATAATCTAAGTCCATATGCACAAGGAAATCCCAACACTGCAAAACATGTTCATATAAAATAATTTCAGAAATAGAATTCACTTAAAATGCAACTAAATCAACTAAAAATATTACAACTACCATACGATCCAACACGACATATAACTATACCAGCAGGGTATACAATTCTACTGACTAATTTCCGGCAACTACAAATTTTACTTATAAGGAAACAAAAGAAAAATAGTATGGGAACAATTTGCAGCAATACTAAGTGACCATCAATGCATAAACTTACTTTAAGTTGTTTCATTTGAAGATGCATATTCAATATTACTAGGGAGGGAAAGCCAAAAGAAACTTAGCGATTAAATCTACATTATCCGGAAACTATTCTATCAAATACATATTTTAGAGGATAGTAGCAAAATACTTTTCATCTTGCATATTCTTGAGATTACTAAGGAAGTAAAAGAATAGCATAAACTCACATCAAATTGCACTACAAGATAGCTAATATTCGACAAGGAACTTATGCTACAGTACCAGCGCTTCTCGTCCATTGATCTCATCCACACAATGCCACCTATAAAGAAAAGTTCATTCTGCACTCCTAACTTACACGGTCTCATTCCTTCCATGCTTCTCTCCACCACTGTCAACTGGCTAAATACTAAATCACGTACAAAACCATCTAATGCAAAGCTGAAAATCAGAAATCACAAAGAGCAGCTCTGGTTTCAATAAATATGGTTGACTACAACAACTACTGAATCAGTGACCCTTTTTAAACCTCAAGCAGAACATTAATTTAATCTGTCTATATTGATTCAAAAACATTGAGAAACTAATAGCAAAGACAAATATGCCATCCAAAATTAACAAGCTCATTATTGGAAATTAACTGTTCTGCACAATATACTAGAAAAGATCACTCAATTCCTTCACGCTCAAACACAATGTATACAAAATGATATCTTTTACTTCTTCTAGCAGAATAATATGCCTAAATTTTGCTAATATCACAGAAACATACACATAGAACAGCTCAAATGAACTTCACCCAAAAACTTAAAATTCGCTGGTACTTGATTTTCTCTTAGTTAATCATCTAGTGATGGATTTTGACAGCTATTAACACTATTACGACGCACTGAACATTGATGAAACGGATAGCTGGAATAAATAGATAAATGAAAATCGTAATAAATTTACAACAGTTCTCTTAAATGTATAGAATGAACTTGAAGAAATAGAATTCACTTAAAATTAACACAACTGACTATAACTATAATATAATACAAAAGCATAATAGGAAATCAAAAAATAACAATGTACTATACATTAAAAATCTCAAAGATCATAATTGTAAGAAAATTACCTTCTTGGGTGCGATACCAATTTTTTTCTTCTTTAACTGAGAGTCATCGCTACAATCAACATCTACTGGTTGAGTCTCTGTTTTAGGCACGGATTCACGTCGGCTTCCCCTAACTCAGAATCCTCAACAACTTTACCTTTTCCCTTATCAGTCACAGGAACACCTCCTATGACTGGTTCAGAATTTGTGTCGGGTAATGACAAGTAGGGAGTTTCATCGACTGACGAAGAATTAATATTGTTGCCTTTTCCACCCTCTAATTCTACATTTTCAATTGTGTTTTCAACATGACTACTGCTAGGGTTACGACTAAATAGAGACTGAGAATCAGAAAATAAGGAAAAACAAGGAACAGACATGGCTGAGGCAACGGATTCAACAGCTACTTGTGTTGAAGAATGATATTGTCCACGGAGCCACCATCTACGCGCGCAATGCTTCCGACCCATAGAGAAAACAACAACCCATAGACATTGATTCACAAAAGTACAAAGGAAAACACAAAAATCCTATGATTTTGAAAACCCACTTTCACTAAAATGTACTTTCAGAAGCAAAATTTCACCCAAAGCAAAAATGTCGCCCAAAAATAGGTACTAGACGAAGAGATAGAACGAAATCGGAAAAAAAATTAAAAACTCGAATGTGGATGAATTTTGCGTTCTCATCGGTTGGCTATGGAGATTTGGAAACTGTACTCTAGGCTACTTGTTAACTGTTAAAGAACGAAGAAAAGCGTGGGAAGCTTGTGCCAGGTGAAATAGGTGGGCTAGATCGAAGATAAGGAAAGATGGGTAGATTGGGCCGCGTGAAATATGGGGACTGGGTAAATAAATTGGGCCGACTGGGTAGGCAGGGTAAATAGTTTGGGCATGGGTATTAAAAGGTAAATAGTTTGGGCTTAATAGGTATAAAGTGAGATTTTCACTTTATTAAATGCCAAGCATTAGGAAAAAAAATTCTGAATGGATTTCATTTAAGGAAACTTTCATAAGTTGATCATTTTTAAATAATAGTATATACAGAATCCTAACATCAAGTATATATCAAATGAGGCAGTGTATTATTTACATTTGTAGATACCTAAAAGAATTTGTCGTCTCTTTAATGTCCGAGAATGTCTGCAATTTCATCCCAAAAAAATCTTCTAAAAATTAGGACTTCTCTTTTATGTCCTTAATTCTTGCCATCATCACTGATGTTCTCTACAATTACAAAGTAGAAAGCAAGATTGCTTCTTTTTAAATTTAAACTTTTATCTTATGGGTTGACAAACTACTTTGCTATCTAATAAGTAGCGATCAAAATGAATGGACCAGCAACTACGAAACACTGATAACTCACAAGTGGAAACAATTATATACTGAAGTATTACAAGATGGAGGAATGTACAAGGCACTGTTTCTTTATTCTGGCAAAAAAGGACTGCAATTGCTTCAAAACATAAACCTTTCTCTACAATCATTTCGTGAACCTAATGACTGCCTGTTGATTTCCCCGTTGCCTTCTTCCAAGATGGTTCGCTAATGCTCTTACTCGATCTCCCATCTTGATCTCGTTGCTCAAATATCCTTAAAATCCATCTGTCAACTAGTTTGTTGTACGACTGGTTCCATCTTTTAGAGAACAAAAGTGGTAGAAAGATGATCCCAATGCCAACAGCAAATCCTAATATAAGGCTTAAATAAATCTCCGTCCTTGAAACTAAATTCTCCTCCTCAAATTCTGGCTCTGAAGGTGCTACTGCTGAAATATTTTTGCAAGTTCTATTCAGCTGAAACCCGCATAGCCCCCTGTTTCCTCTGAAACTTTCCGCAAAGGTATCAAATTGGGTACTTCGTGGTATCATTCCAACCAGTTCATTATATGATAAATTTAAGACGGAAAGAAATGAGAGGCTAGCAAGCTTTTCTGGGATATTTCCATCTAAATTGTTGAATGACAGGTCCAGTGATCCCAATTGCTTCAGATTTCCAAATGCTGGAGTGATTTGACCTGTGAGATTGTTGTGTGAAATATTCAGCAGATAAAGTGATTTGAGATCTCCAACTGTCTCCGGTATGTCCCCCACAAAATTGTTACTTGAAAAATCGATGGAGATGAAGAAGACGGGGATCTTTGCCAATGTAACATTTTGTCCTTTAAGAAAAAGACCGACTGTATCCTGATAGTAAATTGGCCTAACCGATACAGACTCAAAATGCAAGTAATCAAAGTGTGAATGCGCTATAGCTGGATCAACGGTCATTGCATTTAGCTCCAAGAATGAATTTCGGGATAGAATGCCCCCTAAATTATTGGAAGCTAGGTCAATGATTTGAAGAGCTGTCCAGTTGGAACTCAATCCAGAGCAATCAATGTTCCCATGGAAACGATTGAAGCGGAATGCAAGTACGCGCAAATTGGATAAGTTCCTCAACCAGCAGGGGAAGGTATCCCTGATCTTGTTGTTTCCCAGATTCATTAGCTTTAGATTTGTGCAGTTGGACAAAGAACGAGGAAGCTGACCTGATAAGAGATTCTGACTGAGATCAAGGCTTCGTAACTGACAATTATGAGAAATATTTCGAGGTATATTTCCTGCAAGTTTGTTTTTCCCCAGGTTCAACACTTTCAGTGTGCTGCTCAATTCTGCCAAACATGGTGGTATTGTGCCATTCAATCTATTGTTAGACAAATCAAGTACTTCAAGATATCTGTCCTTGCAGATTGAAGAAGGGATATTGCCAATAACTTGGTTGTTTGCAATTGAGAAGAACCAAGCAATTTCAAGATAATTGCCAATGTCAGGTGGCATCAATGTAGCAAAGTTATTGTTGGAGAAGTCCACGTATTTAACTTCTATTGGTGGTAGTGGAATATCTCCAGTGAGCAGATTTGAATGCAGATCAAGGAAATCTAGAATGCCAAATCTATAAGGCTCTTGAAAATGTGTGAAGTGATTGCCAGAAAGATTCAGAAAACGTAGATATCCATCATTGATTTCCCACAACCAATTTGGTATTTCACCACTAAGTTGGCTGCTTGAGAGATCTAGCATCTGCAACCTGGATTGGTTCTTGAGGAAGGAGATACTCTGCAGGTTGCACGACACCAAGAATAGACCACCAAGCTGGGGGAGCAAGGCAAGTTCTGATTCACTTATATTTGTGTCAACTGATAAGCTGTTGTGGGATAGATCAAGGCTTCCAAGGTTATTGAGCTTTGTAAACTTCTTCAAGTGCACAGTTCCATTGAAATTGTTGGATGAAAGTTTAAGAGTTCCGAGCTCGTGTAGCTCAAAGAAGAACTCAGGTATTGGCCCTTCCAATTTGTTGGCACTCAAGTCAAGAGTTGCTAGTGGAGAAGTAACATTTTGTAATTCAGTTATTTGGCCAGAAAATTTGTTGTTGGCCAGATATAAACTCGCAAGTGAGGGTAGGTAAAACAATGACGCTGGAATGAGCCCCGAAAGTGAATTGTTACCCAAGTCAAGATATTTAAGATTCTCATGGCCTTCCCAGTCGGATGATATTTCTGTCAAATTATTTCCAGCAGAGGTTATATAAGTGAGGTTCTTGGACAGTTTAAAAGTTGGGAAAGAACCAGTGAAGCTATTCCAGTTGAAATCCAGATAAGAAAGCTGGGTAAGATTTTCCATAGAAGATGGAATTGGACCTCTAAAATTACATAACCTAAGGTCAACATGCGACAACATGCTAAGGTTCTCAATGGACGTGGGTATACTTCCTGAGAGTCCTGTGTAGCTTAGATCCAGAGTGTGTAGAGATCCATTTGAAGGAAATTGAGGTAAAGAACCTCCAAGCATTTCATTTTGTGCTAAGTTAATAGTGTGCAGAGTTGATACCTGGAATATCTTCTGAGGCACTTCCCCTATCAAGTTGCAGGAATATAGACTCAAGACAGTCAGATTGGAGAAGTCCAAAAAGAACTCTGGAATTGGAGCAGATAAATTGTTCACATCAAGACGGATAACAGAGAGAAACTTAAGATTTGCTAATGGGGTGATACTGCCCGAGAACGATTCATAGCTAAGGTCAAGACCAATAACTTGCCCTGCATCATTGCAGGTGATGCCCTGCCATTGACAGCAGTCAATCCTCTGATCCCACTTAACCAGCTTGGTGGATACTTCAGAATTATAAGTAAGATTATTTCTGAGCTGCAGCAGCAACATCTTCTGATCCTCAAGACATTTGCTGGAATTAGCTGCCATTGCATCATTCATTTTATTGCAGATAGAGAGTAGTAGGATGAAGAAGAACTGGGAAAACATTTGACTTCTCATTTGGACTGTGAGCAGAAAGGGAAAATTGAGGCTGCTAACAGATAAATAATTTTACTATTTTAATTTAAGCAGAACAAGATGATGCATCAGTTGATTCATATTTGAAAAGCCTTGTGAAACCGTGTGGAACTGTTACCCGAAAAGAAAGTTGAAGCTTTTACTAGCAACAACTTGTCTAAGGTGAGTGGAATCATCCCCGTCAAAATAAGCAACTTGATGCTTTTCTTGATATTAGTCCTTCTTTATTATCCTTTTTTTGTTTGGTTTAAAAAGCTAATTTATATTATAATTAAAGTGGTAGTACAGGGAGCGGCTGCTCTTGGGCAGCATTACAAAAGGTGCTAGGAAGAAAAGTAAGTGCACTAATTGCTAATATTATGTAAATGATTTCGTCAAAACTCAAATTAAAGTTGGATTTTATAATTCTCTGCCTTCTCTCTAGGAAGAGAAGGAATAGTATTTTCGTCACCATTTTCCGGCCATAATTCCGGCATCCGGTGGTGGATTGTCGCAAACTTGATGTCAAAAGAAGCATTTTCTCTTTGCGCACAAACCCCAATTGTTTTCATACTCAAATCTGTAACCAATTGGTAAGGATCTTAAATTTCATTTTGCGGTTACTGTAGCAACCAGGCGTTCTTCATTAATTTCTTCTGATTCTTCACGTTAATGGAGTGTTGAAGAGTTTCATGTCTGCTGCGTCCTCTCCCCAGCCTTTGGCTGTGGGAGAGCCATCTATTAAACCAACATATGCTGCTCAGATCCAAACCAAATCACCAACACAAATTGCAACAAAAACAGTGTTGAAATCGATTCAATATGTACATGGCGAACCAACTGTTTGTTTTACCATGGAAGAAAGGCGTGAATTTGCAATGGAGGAGGGGTTACACCAATCTGTTGTTTTTAAACTATCTTCAGGTGCACCAGATCTCAAAGAGCTAAGAAATTTACTGCCCAAACATCTAGGAACAAAAGGTCGATGCCTCGTAGGTTCACTCGCACCAAGGCAAATTCTGTTAAGGTTCGATCAAAATGAAGATTATGTACAGGCCTTAGCTCGTGCAGTAAATTACCTATCATGGAATGGCAAAGAACACCAGTATAGAGTCTTTCCATGGACAATTGGATTTAATCCAAACGAAGAAACTACAATGGCAGTAGTTTGGATTTCATTGCCGAATCTGTCGCCGGATTATTTGTTATGCGTTCGTTGCTATCAATTGCTTCTGCTGCTGGAAAACCTATAGCCATTGATAAAGCGACACAAATTAAATCCAGACCAAGCACAGCGAGGGTGAAGGTAATTTTGGACCTGATGAACAAGCATCCCAAGCGAGTGAGAATCCAAAGTTTGGATAAAAATTCTGGAAAAATTGTTGAAGTTTTTCAGGAAATTGTGTATGATAATCTACCTTTATATTGTAATTGCTGTAAACATCAGGGCCACGATGAGAAAACATGTCGATATATATCGAAAATGGCACACCAAAATGATGAGATTGAAGATGTAGAAGTTTTTCAAGAACCAATTGATCAAGGTCCTGTAGAACAATATCAAGGGGATTTAAGGCAATTGTTGAATGCAAGAAAGATGCAACAGGTTTTAGAAGGCAAAAATGTGGATTCAGATAACAATTTTGAAAATAATTCCATTGTTTATCATCAAGGAACTGATGTAAATAAGTAGAATATTGCAGCAACTCAGTCTGCATTGACTGATGGTCCACGACCAGCTGTTGTTAAGGGCCAACTACAGAATCATCGAGATACTACAGCTGCGCGTGAAATAATTGGAAAACCACCATTTGTTCAATCTACTGATGTTGCATTGAAAAATGTTGTTCATTGAATACAAAGTTGAGTGATATCTCTGCTTCCACAGTATTTTCAAGGATGTATGAAGCTACTGTTGTTTCTTTAAAGGCAGTTACTAATCGAACTGATAATTCAAACAACCTTGATATGTTTAAACATGTCCCTGGGCTATCTAGGATTCAAAGTGAAGTTGTGGTTTCAGAGTGTGCAGCTACAGGTTCCCAAATGTCAGCTGGAGCAGAACAAGATGCTTGTGGGAGTTTGAAAAATGTTGTGCAAGAAAATATGGAGACCAAAACTACTGGGAAAGCAAATGGTAGTGCAGAACCTAAGGATATATTTGTTGAATTAATTGATAAAGCAACAAATGTTGATGCTACCAATGAGGAACATCGTGTAGATGTTATGGAATTGGAGTTTGCAGCATCTGATACAAAGGGTAACAAGAGTAACAACTGGACAGTAGCTATTGAAGCAGCTGCTGCAGCTACTATTGTTTCGAAGCTGGATTGTACTGTTGCTTTGCAATCTCCTATTGATCGAGTTGTATCTACGAGTGATAAACATGATGTTGTGATTGATCTTCTTGAAAGAACAGCAAATCCTATGGATACTAATGTTGCATTGAAGGCAGTCCGAGCAGATACCTCTAACCAGCCTGATATGGTTCAACAACAAGGTGGTGTGACTGTTTCTATAGGTACAGCTGCTGTAGATGTCTCTAATGCTGCCTTAGTTCAAGCTGAGTTTGCTTTAGAAGGGGCTGAATCTGAGCGATCAAAACCTACTGATGCTAGACAACATACAAGGGAAGCTGGACAACATATTACTAACGATAACTGGACATCGGTTTCCAGCAAAAAAAGGACTCCAAGCAGCAAAAAACTAATGCAGATCGCAAAAAAGAGTCCATGTGTACCAAAAAATTCAAACTCATTTTCTGCTCTTGGTAATGTGAATGATAATGATGGGAAGTTGACTGGAGAGAATTTACAGCTGGTTGAGAGTTATAAGGACCAGAAATTGGATCAAAATAGCTTATCGACTCCAGCGGCATTGAATAAAGCTCTTGTTACTATGAATCAGAATGAAGGCAAGACTACTGATCCAAATATGCAACTGCTAGCCCGTGATCAAAATGAAGGGAAGGTAACTCCTACGATACATTTCTCCAGTCCACATGTGGAGAAAATTATCAAAGATTCACATATTAAAATAATGTTGGATGCCAACCCTATGTTCAAGCAACCGTTGGTCACCTTGAACACATCGATGTATGATATTCCCTCTCAATCTTGTAAGTCAATTGGTGAGCATGGGGGTGAATCTGGGCAACCATCAACCTCCACTAGTAATAACAAAGGAATAATTCAAGCAAAGGTGAGGGAGATGGTTATTAACTCGAAACAGTGGAACGACCTACGAGAGTATGATAATGAGGAGGGCTGGGGTGACGGAATTGCTGGTTTTTCATCTGAAGAAGATGACCAAGAGGGTGATCAGGATAATGCAGGAGAGGAAATTGATGCTCCAGTCAAGCCAATGTTTCAGGGGATATCGGCAGCACCCAAGAACAATTTGAATTGTCATGCACTTGCGGCACCTGCAGCAAGTCCCAACAGCAAGTTGAACCATAATGCTCTAGCTTTTGTTCCAAGAATTTCTGCAAATGCAGAAGCAACAAATTTGGGTCAAAAGGCAACAGGAGATAATGTGCAACAACAACAACAATGCTCAGGCGAAAATTCTGCTGGTGATCGAAAAGCAACAGTAGTGCCAAAATCTGGGCAGAATCAAATTGTAACAACTGAGCCACTCATTTCATTGGAGGAGAGGAAACTTTTGGATGCAATGGTAAGCTCTACTCCTCTAAAATCCTTAAATCCTGCTACGCTTAGCACTTGCCCTGTAAGTAAGAGCAAGGAAAAAATGCAAAACATAGGACAACAACAAAGTAAGACAATCGTGACAACGACACAAGGAGGAGATGCCTTAGTGACACTCGATATCGTTCAAAGTTCTCCACAACCTGTTAATTTGGGGAGTGAATTTTTTGAACAAGGAGAAGAAGAAGCAATGTTACAAGAATGTCGTGCACATGCATCAAGAAAAGAGGATCTATCACCAAGGCATAGCGACAAAGGTAAAAAGACTCATATAAGGAAAAATAGTTGGGACGACAAGGTTAGTGATTTTTTAAATGTTAGGCGACCTCCAATGAGAAATGCCAAACAAAAGCAGGTCGCCCCAACTACATCAACAAGGTCCAATCGTTCTAAAAAGAAATCATGAATTTTGAATACTTCTTGAAGAATTGGGAGTGTGATGAAAAAGAATTACAAATTGAAGAAATTACAAGTTTGGACAAGAAGGGACAACATTTTAATTCCTTCATCATTTTATTCTACCATTATGTTAGTATTCTGATTTGTAATATCATCACA